GGACTCCCGTTCGTGCTTGCCGGCCCCGCCCGCGACCTGCCCCGCCGCCCACCCGCCACCCTCCAGCGACCCCCTTCTCGACCCACCTCACGACCCACCTCGCAACTCGCCCGTGACTCACCCGCGACCCACCCGCGACCTGGCCGCGACCCACCCGCGACCCGCCGCGCGACCTGCCGCGCGGCGGGTCAAGAGGCCCCCACGATCGCCCCCACGAGCGCCCAAGAGGCCTCCAAGATGGCCTCAGGACTGCCCAATAGGCCCCCAAGACGGCCCCAAGAGGGCACAAAGGCGACCCAAGAGGCCTCCAAGACACCCAAGATGGCCCCTAAGACGGCCCTGGAGCACCCCAAGAGGGCCCCAAGTCGGCCCACAGGGGCCCCCCAAACGGCTTCCGACGGCGTCGGACGGGCCAGGAGCCCACCAAGATGGCCGAAATTGGCCCGAAGCTGGCCCAAGACGGCCCAAGAGGCCTCCAAGAGGGCTTCCAGGAAGGCAAGAAAAAACAAACTAATTAGCTTGGCGGGAAAAAACAACCATATGCAGTTGTGAATACAGCAATTGTGAATCTATTTTTCGGTGACGCTCCCTATGGGACCACGAAACGCTGTACTGGGAGGGCGAAACGCAGGGAGCTAAGGCCGTGTTGGGTGGTGGCCGACGCATGCGGGCGGTGCCACTGGGACCTTCGGTGGAGCCCCCTATGGGGCCACGAAACGCTGTACTCGGTGGGTGAACCGCAGGGAGCAAGGGCTGTGCTGGGTGGTGGCGGACGCATGCGGGCGGTGCCACTGGGGGCTTCTGTGGAGCCCCCTTTCATGGGGCCACGAAACGCTGCACTGGGTGGGCGAAACGAAAAGGGAAATGATTGTACTGGGTGGTGGCGGACGCATGGTTGTACTGGGTGGGCGAAACGCAGGGAGCAAGGGCTGTGCTGGGTGGTGGCGGACGCATGCGGGCGGTGCCACTGGGACCTTCGGTGGAGCCCCCATTATGGGGCCACGAAACACTGTACTGGGTGGGCGAAGCACAGACAACAAGGGCCGTGCTGGTTGGTGGCGGACGCATGCGGGCGGTGCCAGTGGGACCTTTGGTGGAGCTCCCTATGGGGCCACGAAACGCTGTACTGGGTGGGCGAAACGAAAGGGGAAATGGTTGTACTGGGTGGTGGCGGACGCATGCGGGCGGTGCCACTGGGACCTTCGGTGGAGCTCCCTATGGGGCCATGAAACGCTGTACTGGGTGGGCGAAACGCAGGGAGCAAGGGCTGTGCTGGTTGGTGGCGGACGCATGCGGCGGTGCCACTGAGACCTTCGGTGGGGCGACCTATGGGGCCGCGAAACGCTCTACTGGGTGGGCGAAACGCAGACAGTAAAGGGTGTGCTGGGTGGTGGCGGACGCATGCGGGCGGTGCCACTGGGACCTTCGGTGGAGCCCCCTTATGGGGCCACGAAACGCTGTACTGGGTGGGTGAAGCACAGAAAGCAAGGGCCGTGTTGGGTGGTGGCGGACGCATACGGGCGGTGCCACTGGGACCTTCCGTGGAGCTCCCTACGGGGCCACGAAACGCTGTACTGGGTGGGTGAAACGCAGGGAGCAAGGGCTGTGCTGGGTGGTGGCGGACGCATGCGGGCGGTCCCACTGTGGGCTTCGGTGGAGCTCCCTATGGGGGCACGAAACGTTGTGCTGGGTAGGTGAAACGTATGGAAGAGGGAGGGGGGAAGGAGGGGGAGGAGAGGAGAAGAGGAACGCGGGGACCGTCTCTTCAAAACGAGGACCCAAAACACAGGATGGCTGGAAAAAAAAACACAAGAAGTGATGTTCCTTTGGTTGGTGAAAGATTTTGAAATTTGCTTCTTTTCGATCATCCGAAGGCCCAATACGGCCCAAGAGCCACCAAAGATCGCCCAAAGATCGCCCAAGAGGCCTCCAAGATGGTCCAAGAACGGCCCAAGAGGCCCCCAAGACGGCCCAGGAGGCTTTTAAGACGCCCAAGATGGCCTCCAAGACGGCCCTGGAGCATTCCAAGAGGGCCCCAAGTCGACCCAGAGGGGCCCCCCAAACGGCTTCCGACGGCGTCGGACGGGCCAGGAGCCCACCAAAACGACCGAAGATGGCCCTAAGATGGCCCAAGACGGCCTAAGAGGCTTCCAAGAGGGCCTCCAGGCAGAGCCGAAAAGGTCAAAATCATCGATGTCCCATGAGTTTTTGAAAGATTGTGGCATTTGTTTTTTTCTGCCTTCCGACGGCCCGAGACGGCCCAAGTGCACCCAAAGATCGCCCAAGAGGCCCACGACGGCCCCCAGAGGCCCCCAAGACGGCCCAAGAGGCCTCCAAGACGCTCAAGATGGCCTCCAAGCTGCCCACAGATCCATCCACAGACGTCCTCCAAGAAGGCCCGAAAGGGACAAAATCGCCTCCAGGCGGCCAAGATGACTTTCAAGATGCCCACGTGTTCCCCGAAGGCTTTCCAAACCGATTCGGGGAACACATGGTCCGACAGCTTGGCAGGTCTGGCCTCAACGTTCGGCCACATAGGCGCTTCCAAAAAGGCAGGGGGCGGCGGTGATTCGCCGTATGCGTCTTAGATCCGCCGCCCCCTGTTGATTCATCACAGGGGTGCCTGGCGTGCTAGACTATTTCGGTTTTGGTTTTGGTTCTATTCCAAAAGAACTCACCCTGGGGCTTCGGCCCGTCCCGCCGGGGTGCCTGGAAGGACCTCCGGGACCTCAATCCTGCAAAAAATCTTCCAAAACGGCCCAAGATGGCATCCCAGATGGCCACGTTGGCCCAAGAAGGCCTCCAAGATGGTCCAAGATGGCCTCCAAGTCCGCCCAAGATGGTCCAAGACGGCCTCCAAGACGGCCTAAGAGAGCCCAAGACACCTCCAAGTTCGCTCGAGAAGCCTCCAAGACGGCCCAAGAGGCCTCCAGGAGGGCCCGAAGAAGCCAAATTCATTGATTTTCCTTAGGTTGTTGGAAGATTTTGGCATTTGCTTCTTCTCGGCATTCCGACGGCTCAAGACGGCCCAAGAGGCCTCAAAGATCGCCCCAAGATCGCCCACGAGGCCTCCAAAGTGGCCCCATGACGGCCCAAGAGGCCCACAGGACGGCCCCAAGAGGGCTCCAAGACGGCCAAGATAGCGTCCAAGACGGCTAAGATGGCCCCAAAACGCCTCCAAGACGGCCCAAGATGTATCCAAGACGGCCCAAGATTACTTCAATAATGCCCAAGACGGCGCATGAGGCCCCCAAGCGGCCCAAGAGGCCTCCAAGAAGTGCTTCAGGAGGGCCCGAAGGGACCAAAATCATGTACTTTCCTTAGGTTGCTGAAGGATTTTGGCACTTGCTTCTTCTCGACATTCCGACGGCTCAACTCTGCCCAAAAGATCGCCCACGAGGCCTCCAAGATGGCCCCACGATGGCCAAAGAGGCCCCCAAGAGGGCCCCAAGAGGCTTCCAAGACGGCCAAGGTGGTTTCCAAGACGGCTAAGACGGCCCAAGATGCCTCCAAGACGGCCCAAGATGCACCCAAGACGGCCTAAGATGGCCTCAAGAAAGCCAAGACGGCCCAAGAGGCCCCCAAGAGGCTTCCAAGACGGCCCAAGAGGCCTCCAAGAGGTCCTCCAGGAGGGCCCGAAGAGGTCGCCAAAACGTGCCAAGAGAGGTCACCAAAATGCAAAATTCATAAATTGTTGTTCGCTTATTTTGTCGTAAGAGAGTTGAGGATATGTTGCTTCTCGGTCCTCCGACGGCCCAAGACGGTCCAAGAGGCCATCAAGATAGCCCCAAGAGCGCCCAAGAGGCCTCCAAGATGGTCCCAGGACGGCCCAAGACGTCCCCAAGACGGCCCCAAGAGGGCCCAAAGGCGGCCTGAGAGGCCTCTAAGACGCCCAAGATGGCCTCCACGACAGCCCTGAAGCGACCCAAGAGGGCCCCAAGCCCAAGACGGCCAAAGAGGCCCCCAAGAAGCGCCCAAAGGCCCCCAAGAGACACCTAAGAGGCCCCAAGAGAGCCCAAAATGGCCCCAATGTGGCCTCCAAGGCGGCCCCAGGATGCCTCCAAGACCGCCAAGATGGTCCAATCGAGCCCAAGACTGCCTGAAGAGGCTCCGAAGAGGTCTCCTCCTCCCTTCTCTGTTTTCATCGTTATCCCCCTCTTCCTCGGCCATGTGTTCCCCGAAGGCGTTCCAAACAAACTCGGGGAACACATGGTCCGATAGTTCGGCCAAGCTCCAACCCAACCTTCGGCCACATAG